CCTCTGAGTGTGTGTCACACACACTCACACACACACACACACACACACACACACGCACTCACACACACACACGCACGCACGCACGCACACACACACTCACTCACTCACTCACTCAATCAGTTTGAATTCAGTGAGCGTGTTGTTTTGCTGTGCTTCTGTGAGTGTGTCTGATTAAGGTGTGACGTGTGTCTCTGCAGATGTGTGAAGATCTGTTCAAGCGCACCAGTGAGAACACCGATCCTGATCTGTCCTACTCCGTCGAGGTGCTGCTACACACTCCTCACATCACTCATACACACACATGACTGGCTTTGATCACTGAAGCCGATATCATAGTGAGCAGGACGACTGATATATATGATATCATTTAAAGATCGTAAACAACACATTCTGAGATTAAATGCGTATTTATTTTACAAAAAATGTATTCAATTAAAAATATTTTGAAACCAAATCAGTGTGAAAAAATATTTTGAACTTGATTAAAAAAATAGTAAAACTTCTGTTATCCTATGATAATGTTTGTCACATTTAAAGAAATAGTTGAACACATGACTAGAAGGACGTTAACACTGTAACCATTGGTGCACTCGGTAAGTGGAAGCATATTTTATCAAGCAAACACAGACATTTCATGGTGAATCCTTAAATTAAATATGATTTAAACACTAGGATATAACACACTCATATTAGGTTATAAAATTATATTATATGTATATAAATATATCAGTATTATTGTATGTATATGTACACGCGCACACACATATATATATTTTTCATTGCAATTCATAAATTATTATTAATATATTAAAATAAACTTAAAATTAAAATGCAAAAAATTCAATAACTATTGTTTTTAACTGAAGAACAAAGTTCCTGAAACTTCTGATGTCACAAAATTAATCAAGTCCAATTTATTTATATACTGTAGCACTTTTCACACACATACATTGTTTCAAAGCAGCTTTTACAGAAAATCGTGATGTTAATGTTTATAATATCTAGTATCTTCATGCCTTATAGTTGCATTTAGCAGATTAGAGCTGGGTGATAATATAGTTTTTTTAAATATATATATTATATTTTAATATATCAAAGCTCCCGGTTTCTGACAATAAAAAAAAAATTGAAAACAGGCAGCTTTTTCATAATTATTGAAATATTGAAAATAGTCCACATCAAGGAGCCGTCAAATAAAAAAAAAGTTTGAGAAGCACAGTTGTAGATTAAGGTCATGTGTGTGTGTGAAAGAATATGTGTGTGTGTCAGTGGAGAAGATGAATGTGATGTGTGTGTGTGTGTTTGAGTGTGTGAGTGTGTGTGTGTGTGTGTGTGTCAGTGGAGAAGATGAATGTGATGTGTGTGTGTGTGTTTGAGTGTGTGAGTGTGTGTGTGTGTGTGTGTGTCAGTGGAGAAGATGGATGTGATGTGTGTGTGTGTGTGTGTGTGTGTGTGTGTGTGTGTGTCAGTGGAGAAGATGAATGTGATGTGTGTGTGTGTGTGTGTGTGAGTGTGTGTGTGCGTGTGTGTCAGTGGAGTAGATAAATGTGATGTGTGAGTGTGTGTGTGTGTGTCAGTGGAGAAGATGAATGTGGTGTGAGTGTGTGTGTGTGTGTGTGTCAGTGGAGAAGATGAATGTGATGTGTGTGTGTGTGTGTGTGTGTGTGTTTTTGTGTGAGTGTGTGTGTGGGTGTGTGTGAGTGTGCGTGTGTGTGTGTCAGTGGAGAAGATGAATGGGATGTGTGTGTGTGTGAGTGTGTGAGTGTGTGTGAGTGTGTGTGTGTGTGTGTTTTTGTGTGAGTGTGTGTGTGGGTGTGTGTGAGTGTGCGTGTGTGTGTGTCAGTGGAGAAGATGAATGGGATGTGTGTGTGTGTGAGTGTGTGAGTGTGTGTGAGTGTGTGTGTGTGTGTGTTTTTGTGTGAGTGTGTGTGTGGGTGTGTGTGAGTGTGCGTGTGTGTGTGTCAGTGGAGAAGATGAATGGGATGTGTGTGTGTGTGAGTGTGTGAGTGTGTGTGAGTGTGTGTGTGTGTGTGTTTTTGTGTGAGTGTGTGTGTGTGAGTGTGCGTGTGTGTGTGTCAGTGGAGAAGATGAATGTGATGTGTGTGTGTGTGTCAGTGGAGAAGATGAATGTGATGTGTGTGTGTCAGTGGAGAAGATGAATGTGATGTGTGTGTGTCAGTGGAGAAGATGAATGTGATGTGTGTGTGTCAGTGGAGAAGATGAATGTGATGTGTGTGAGTGTGAGTGTGTGAGTGTGTGTGTCAGTGGAGAAGATGTATGTAATATGTGTGTGTGTGTGTGTGTGTGAAAGAATGTGTGTGTGTCAGTGGAGAAGATGAATGTGATGTGTGTGTGTCAGTGGAGAAGATGAATGTGATGTGTGTGTGTGTTCAGGTGTCCTATATGGAGATCTACTGTGAGCGAGTGCGGGATCTGCTGAACCCCAAGAGTAAAGGAGCGCTGCGGGTGCGAGAGCATCCCATCATGGGGCCGTATGTCGAGGACCTGTCCAAACTCGCTGTGACGTCCTATACTGACATCCGAGACCTCATGGACGCGGGGAACAAGGCCCGGTACAAACCACACCAGCATTTAAATCTTTCCCCGCCAGCGATATTGAAAAAGTTGCCAGCCACCGCCAGCGTTTTTGCTGATTTTCACTAAAATTTCATGGCCCCCAGAATATTTTGCTGTTTGAATATCTGAACATGCTATACATCAAAATAAAGATCAGACCCTCTACTTTCAAACAAAAAAATCTGTTTTATTTTAGCTTCAAGCATTGTTTTTTTATCAACACTTGTAGGTAGGTTTCATAAAAAAAGCAACATTTTGAGCAAAAAGCTGAGAAAATCCAATTTTTATCAAATACTGCATCTATCATATTCAGTAATATTATCAAAGCAAAGCTGCAGTAGATGGCTTGCATCAGCGCTCCCAAAGCTTCACAGTCTTTTCTGGATCCACATTTCACTCGGGAACATTAGTCAGTTTTCATTTATATGCGGTTAGTGTTGGCTGCATTATTTTTCATATGCATATGCTTACATATGAGATCGCTGGTTTCCGCGTCTTCCTGGTCTGTGTTTTTGATCGAGTGATTCTAGACTCATTCAGGAGATGTGTGATAGCGCCCCCTAGCGTATAACAATGAGAACACAGAAACCTGGAAAATTCCATGTTTGATGGGGAAAGAGTTAATCCCATACACACATTACTGCTGTACTCAGATGAAAGGCTCCTCACTGTCTCGTGTTTGATTGATCAGGACGGTGGCAGCGACAAACATGAACGAGACCAGCAGCCGATCGCACGCCGTCTTCACCATCGTCTTCACTCAGCACCGCCGAGATCAGCTGACCAGCCTCGACACAGAGAAGGTGTGTG